CGTCGGCGACCTCGTTGGCCAGACTTGCCTCGTTGAGAAGGCGTGGCAGCAGAGATGAAGTAGGTTGAGGAGGTCCAGGTTGCTGAACGATGAACTGGTTCTTGGGTTTTGAATTTGGGGAAAAAGTTATTTTTAGGTTTTCATTTGGAAGGGAATATTAATGAGTGTAAAATCATGGAGGGAAACAAAGTATGCGAGGGAAAGAAAAAAAAGTAAAACGAAAAATGGATTATAATTTATGTTAGATATTAACCTCCTTTAAAAAGAATTTAAACCTCCTCTGCTATTAGAACTTAAACAATTCACCAAAATCATCTTGAATCATCGTAGTTTGCGGAGGGTTTTTGAAAAATCCACAAAATAACCTCCATTAAATAAGAATTTTTTTATAGTGATACACACTAAGTTAAAGTTTATGTCCCCTGTTTATCTCACAATTGTAAACAAAAAACAACAAGTATTTCCCTGTTATCTTCAAAGCTTATTGGGGTACTATTCTCCAATAGTAGATAAGAACATGTCACATATTATAAATTTTCAAAAACTTAAATATAATTAAATTTAATTTAATGTAAATATTATGAACTAAATATATTAAAATAAAAAAATATAAATAATCTTATTTATGTTTACACCGATTCACATTAAAAAAAAAGTTAAATGGTTATTTCAGGTCAATTTTTATTATCTTATGATAGTGTAACATCCCATAATCTCACACTTGATAATTTATAATTTATATATTGTACCATTACATTTAAGGTAACATCTTGTAATTTCACACTTGAAAATTCATAGTTGATATATATTTATACGTGTTTTAAACTCAGATTTCAACTACAAAATCATAAATATAACTTGAATTCTTCTATTTTATTCTTTTATCTCTCTCTTTATTAGCATTGAATCAGACGACATACCTTCATCTGCTCCCGTATAATGAATTATACGATCATCGCACATACACAAACACAAACAAGTAGGGTAAGCTAACATGCAACCAATCATTTATAAAACATGCATAATTACTTGATACACATCAACAAAATTCATATAATTATGTCAGACACCCTCATACCATCATACAACAATCGCCATAGATACTCATCCCACAATATCACAATAGACACTAATCCCGATGATCGTTGATGAGAGGTCACGGGAGGTATGCACTTGTGATGACTTCACTTCTTCTTACAAATACACTTCCAAAATATTTCATACCATCCACAAGGTTAGTCTCAACACTATGTCCAAAATCGACACGAGACCAGGACCTCGTGCTCCTCTCACCACATAATTCATCCTTCTCTACTTGAGACTGGATGATTATTAGAGTATCAGGATAACCTCCAACTACAGGACCCTCAACATCAACATATACACAAACACCATATCATTACTGAATCTCTCCACGAGATTCATACCATGCTCATATTCCTCAACTCACATTATACCATTACAAAATCTCCTCATAATACTCATATCATGTTCGGATGCATAAATTCAAATCAATATAATAAAATACAATCATCACAGAAATCATACAAATTGAATATAAAAATAAATTAACAATACTAAAATATCACTATAAATGATCACCGGAGAAGATCAAATGTTTGACGAATCAAACTCACCATAAACGCCATACATATGACTAGGTCACAACTTACTGGATTGACCAGGACTGCTCTATGATCAGGGATGTACCACACTCCGATTTTTAAGATTCCTCTATCCTACCATACAATTATAATTCATAATTTCATATCTATCACAATACATGCAAAATGAATCATCAGACATTTTCATTTCAACGAGATATATTGCAATAATAGTAAAAGTACCTAATATGTTCAACTGTTCAACAAGATTTAAGTTAAAAACTTGTCGAGTAAACTTCTAGGAAAGAGAGGTGTGTCACAATAGACAACTTAAGTACCAAGTCTTTCCTTAGCCAAAGTGTTCCTCAACTAGTTTTAACAAATTTCTTATTTACAGATTCAAAACAATAGCATATAATATTAACACAAAAATTCAATATAGATAGATATACAGTAAGCATTAATAGTATTCACACATAATTTCATGACATGAATAGTAATAAAACAATACTAAATCATAATATAAAAGCTTAGAAAGGTTAGCTCTCATACCTCTATTCCAGACTTAATCTATTGCTCAGAATTTGTTTCCCCGAAAACCCTCCACAACCTCTACTCTTCTTGCAACTAAAAATTTCTTCGTAATTTCTCAAGATTTCTCACTTGCCTCGCCGGTTTTCAAAACCCCCCTTCAACTGCTACTCCGTCAAGTTCAGCCCCTTCTATGAGAACCGCCTCGCCGTTGCCACCGCCCAGAACTTTGGTATCCTCGGCAACGGCCGCCTCCACGTCCTCATCCTCTCCCCGGACCCTTCCCTCCCTATCGCGGAGCTTGCCTCCTACGACACCGCCGATGGTGTCTACGACGTAGCCTGGTCGGAATCACACGACTCCATCGTCATCGTCGCCATGGCCGACGGCTCCGTGAAGCTCTACGACCTGGCCGTACCCCCCACTTCCAACCCGATCCGCTCCTTCCCGGAACACACCCGCGAGGTCCACTCCGCCGACTACAACCCCGTCCGCCGCGACTCTTTCCTCTCCTCCTCTTAAATTCAAAACCTCATCTTCAAGAAGTCAAATTATGAGCTGGTTTGTGTTGTTGTCAGGTGGAGTTCATATTCCAATAAGGCTAGTTTTTCCCCTTCTTTAAAACAATAATTAAATTTGCTAATGACATATTTATAATTAATATGTTGGTTTTTTTTAAATAAAAGTTTAACTATTTTATATAATAATTTTTTTGACACTATATTAAAAATAATGAATTAATAAAATAATAACAATAATAATTATTATTATTATTAATTTGAGAAAAATATTTTTTAACAACTTATTTTGATAACATTTTTACCACATCTATGTGGTAATTCATAATTGATCCGTTTTAAATATACATACCAATAAAATAAAATAGTGACACACATAATTTATTATAAAAAAGTTGTTCAAATAATTGTTAATATATCATAGTCTTTAATTTAAATAATATTTTTAATTTGCTATTACTAATAATTAAGTTTGTGTCAGAATAAAACTAACAAGTTTTAAGGTCAAATAATTTAAGAACTAACCAACTACTACATGTTAATATAAAAATTTAATTTATATACCTTTAACTTTTTATCTACAATTAATTTAAATTTATATTTATACAAAGTTAAGAAATGTGAAATAGTAATCATAAATATAAATTTAAGAAAATTGACACTAATAATAGGTTGAATTCTGATTAATAATGAATTGTATTGTTTTGCATATCTTCTCAAGTTATATTAAATTAGTTGATTAAAATAATCTTTTAAACCTATTTTTCTTTGATGTAGAATTTATTTATTATTTTTTATCATCTCACTTAATATATATACCAATTAGAGGTTTATTATTTATAATTTATTTGCAAAATATGATTTTGAAATGTGAAAATAAATCACTAGTGCAGAAAGGGCTTTAGACGTCCGATATTTTGGCCTTTTGACGTCCGACGTACGCCCGACGTTTATGTGGGTGACGTCGCTCAGACATCCGTTGTGTCAGGACGGACGTCTATATAGACGTCCGTTGTATCAGGACGGACGTCTATATAGACGTCCGTTGTGACAGGACGGACGTCTATATAGACGTCCGTTGTGCAAGACTGGACGTCTATATAGACGTCCGTTGTGTTAGGACGGACGTCTATATAGAGGTCCGCCTCCTCCCTTCCCGGACGTCTAAGTGGTTGAATTGTTTTTGGTAGGGGCTGGGGGGTGGACGTCCGTGTGTGCACTGACAGACGTCTATAGACGTCCGACTGTACACTAACGGACGTCTACTGGGCGTTTTTTTTTAGACGTCCGGGCCCCCCACTAACGGACGTCTATAATATTATAGATGTCCGTCCAGTCACTCATATGACGTCTATGGTAATTTAAAATTGATGTTGGCGGGGGGTTTTAGACGTCTGTGATGTGGGGCACGGACGTCTAAAATATTATAGACGTCCGTCATTGGGGGGCGGACGTTTAAGGGGCTGAACAACTGAACGTTTCAACTACCCTGTCAGTCCCTTAAACGTCCGTCTTGGGGGGGACGGACGTCTATAATATTATAGACGTTCGCCCCCCAGGACGGACGTTTAAGGGACTGACATTGGGAGTTGAAACGTTCAGTTGTTCAGCCCCCTTAAACGTCCGTCCTGGGGGGGCGGACGTCTATAATATTATAGACGTCCGTCCCCCCCCGGACGGATGTTTAAGGGACTGACAGGGTAGTTGGAGCATTAATTCTCCTACCACCTGTCAGCATCCTAAATGTCCGTCCTGGAGGGGCGGACGTCTATAATATTATAGACGTCTGCCCCCTTCCTGGACGGACATTTAAGGGGCTGAAGACATTTAATGCTCCAACCACCCTGTCAAGACCCTAAACGTCCGTTTGGGGGGGCGGACGTGTATAATATTATAGACGTCCGCTCCCTCACAGGACGGACGTTTTAGGGTTGGTTTTGTTCAGCCCTTAAACGTCCGTCCCCACCCACGGACGTCTATAATATTATAGACGTCCGGCCCCTCCCTGGACGGACGTCTACAGTTTCACTTATTTACGAAAATGCTACCGGTCAATTGTTTACGTTGGGGCTTTTGTGAATGGACGTCTATGGAGTGACGTTATAAACCAATTCTGCACTAGTGAATAAACAGTTTTGTTCTAAGAAATACTTGACGAAAGATTTATTTATTTTTATTTTAAATAAATCTTCATACAATTAAATAAAAAAAAATATTGTGGCAAATGCAGAGCCATTAATTTTACAGGGACATTGCATTCAATGTAGACATTAATTATTTTCTAACTTTCGAAATAAAAATATTTTTTAACTTTCGAAATGAAAATAACATTAATTATTATTTTTTGTTATATAGTTACATGCTATTAATTTCTAAATATTTTTTAAATTCATTATAAATTATAGGAAAAATATATAATAATTGAGGGCAAGTTAAAAGTTTAAAATAACTTAGTATAACATTTGGATTGATCCCTTAACATTTGAGATGTATACAACAATTTGTAATTAAAATTTAATTTAAAATTATACAAAAAATGTATATTTTTTAAATTATGTGTAAGAAAGTAAAATAAAAATAGTAATTTTTAAACATTTGAAAAAATAACAGTTTCCCCAAATATAAAAATATAAAAATTAATTAAAACTTAATTTTATTCAATTAAGAATAATTACTCTAATGGAATATTTATAGTTTACCATCAAAATTTATGACTTCAAGATTTATCAACCACAAGTTATCTAACCAATTAATTTTACAATATATATCTATCTATATATATATATATATACATATATATATATATATATATATATATATATATATATATATATATATATATATATTAAAAATAACTTTGAATTTAAATTTCTAGAAATCAAAATATGAAATAAAAATTAAATATAAAAGACATTTTATTGTTGAAATTTCTGCACAATTAAACTTGGCAAATGCAATTATACTAATTTTGCATGGCATTAAATGTATGGCAGAAAAGTGGAAAACATAAGATATTGGAACCCTTTTAATATTTAGTATCGTGAAGCGACAAAAACATTTCAATTTTATTTTCACCTAAACGCGGTTCCTTGTGTCTTTTTCTTTCTTAACACTTTTTCTTATATCTTAATCACATTTTACATTGATTTATTTTAATTTTCAAGTATTTATTGTTTTTATGTAAATAATACTTAAAATCATGTTACGCATGAAATTATTTTAATATAAATGAAAATAGTATGTAACATCCCAATTTTTTGGATGTTCAAGTAAAATTTAAAATTTTTAAAATCACCATCGTGAAATCTACTTATATAATACCAAAATTTCTAAAATAAAAACGTAATAAAATAAATTCGATTGCATTGTCTCTAACATTTTTAGTACAAAAACTTTAAATAACACAAGTCGTTTTCTCACTATCGCGTCTCTATCGTGCATCTAGAGTAGGGATGACAACGGGTCGGGTCGGGCACGGATAGTGCCTACTTGCAACCCGACCCAGAAATCCAGTCGCTACCCGCACGGATATTCGCTTAAAAAATATCCACAGATATTTTAAAACCCGCGGATACCCCTGGATACTCGCAAATATTTAATACCCATAGGTCCCTTGTAGCTTCTCCTACAGGTCTGCTCGAGTAGTCCCGCCTACCTGGCTAAGGAACATGTTTCATGCCACATAAGGACAAGGCAAACACCATCACCCCCATACACAAAGAAGGCTCAATACCCGAGCACCCCCTTTTCACACACAAAGCCAAAGGGAGTCGCTATCTCGTATCAGACGATCGATAGTCTTAAGCTTTACTAGGCACAACAAGTAGACTTATCTTCCACTCTTATGCTCATCAACTACACACTCAGGTACATCTCAACACTCACTCGTTCCAACATCAATCAAAGCTCATCATATACCTAAGTACAACGACCATTTTCATTCTCTATCTAACATTATTCATTCATCATTATCCTAAGTTTCATTCAAAAATACAATGTGCTAAATGGATTCCACTCAAACAATAAATAAATATAATTCAATATCAATCCATAGATCATTTATTACTTTAATCAATCATTAAAATCAAATTTTCAATTAATTTAAAATCTCATTAATTTCCTTTTTGAATCAAATTAATTTATCTTTCCAATTTTAATTTAAAATTAATTTAATTACCAATTAATTGTTAAATAAATAATAATAACTTTCTTCTCATAATTGTAACAATTATTATTGTAAATTAATGTTTCATCTCTCTCCTTTTATAATTTATTTTCATTAATTAATGTCAATAATTAATTAATTCTATTTCCCATTATTTTAATTTTAGAGACATAGGATTTATTTTAATTTCTCTTGTTTCATTCTTATTATTAATTTTGGATCTCTACAATTTTGATTTCAGATCTGCCAGTAATGAGTCCTACGACTCAACAAGTCCAGCCCAAATCCAAGTCCAAGTCTCGTCTTACAAACCCAGCTAGCCCAATTGAGTTATTATTATTAATGTTTTCAAGACTGTCCAACAATGGGTCTTTTATGACGCAAATTAGTTAGTCCAACCCATATTTTTCGGCCTAACCCAAACTGCCAGCCCAACCCAAGTTCAGGAAATCCTCAGTCAGAACGAAGCTGACAACGCCGCCACTGCGACCCTACGGCGGCATCCACCAGCCCTCCATGGCCACCACTCGCGCAACCAAAAAAGAATCAAATATCAGATAACAAAACAGCACTTTCGATTCAAAAGACGAATATCACAGTTATCAAACCTCAATCAAAACACAAGAACATGAAAAATCCCGAATTTAGTTCAAATGAAACCCTACATCTCAAATCGCAGAAAAAATCATATCATTATAACCAAAACTCCAAAAATTGATGACCAACCTTAACCCATCAGAACCACCAAAATCACAGTGCCGTGTTTTTTATCCACATATATTGTTCTAGGAAAAGATTTGTCAGTGATGAGGGGAAGAAGGAGGACAATTCCTTTTAAA